AGTAATTGAGTAATATAAACAATTTCTTGATATAAAAAAATGCATTGAAAAAGTAAGTATGAGAGCTGAAACTTTAATGTTGTATACAAGAGTCTCTCTCTCTCTCTATATATATATATGCATTCAGACTTCTGATATCTAATAATGTAACATGAATAGGTGGGGAGTGGGGGTTAAATGTTTAGATCATATGTGTACCTTGTGTAATGCAATAAATTAACACCAAAAATTCTTTATCAGCTATATTCTAAAATATTTTTTTACCATTTAAGGAAGATTTGAATCGTCTTTTATTTATGTCATATCTAAATTATTGTTGGAACGTTAAGCTTAAATTCCGAGAAGAACTAAGTAATCTTTTTACCAATTTAGTCGGCAAATTTAGTTTAGATAATAAAAATTTACTTTCAAAGATGCGATGTTATTTTTTGTCGCAAAAATTAAATGTTTAACATAGGAAAATCGTTATGTAGTTTTACATGCACTTCTCAAAAGATCAATACGTAGATTCTAGAATATGTATTGTATCAAATTGTCACTTTATGAATGCAAACACAGATATAAATAAGAAACACCCTCCCCACCCCCCTCAAAAGTGAAGGCTTGCAGAAGTGGTTAACTCACTTGCAAGGGACTATATCTTACATGTAGTTGTACACTGTATTCCATACAGTGCACTTTACTTTAATCTCAATGGGTCTACTTTCTGTTTGGTATCATGCATGATTTCTGATAAAAGAGAGTGTAAGTAATGAGGTTAATGTAACACTTCGTTCATTTTCAAGAAATGAACTACCCCCCTACAGAAGTAAATTCTCTCCCTGCTGAGGTAATACTTATTAATAGGAGACGTGGAATTTCCATTTCAAGATCTTCCTGAATCAGTTTAGGATTTGCATTCTATAATGTCGGTGAATGTTTCTAGAAGAGATCCTTTTTATTTAAAGACCCGTCAAGTCTTTGTCAAATAAAATAGATATCGCAAAGACTTTCAATCTTGGTGAAATTTACTGTCGATATTTCCTAAATTTTACTTAATTTACAATCGGTATGAAATGATACCATGCGTTGTATTGGTTGTATTGTCTTCATATATATATATATATATATATATATATATATATATATATATATATATATATATATATATATATATATATATATACATACACACACACACACACCCACCCTCACACACACACACACATATATATATAAATATATATATATATATATATATATATATATATATATATATATATATATATATATATATATATATATATATATATACACTAGTATTTGTCAGAAGATGGGGCAGTTGGGGGATTAAAGTGTGTGAATAAAATAGTAGGATTTTTGTGAGAAATATGCTAAGCGTTAATTCCAGTTCAAATTGCCCTTTGTAACATTACTTGCTGTTCAACTGTGTTGCAGAAAATTATAAATGTATAGTTTGTTTATTTTGTATTTTTTTAACATGCCCTTAGGCCTTTAAGGACCCAATTTTTGGCAGTAAATCATTTATATCGCATTGTATAAGCATGTACCTTGGACTAAGTATGGAACCTATTTTCAAGAATGTAAACAAATTTAACTGAAATTTGAATGTCTTTCTATTCCTCGATCATATATATCCTAAAGAATTTATACATAAATGCAAATTTTCACGTGTGCTTATGCACACTTTACAATGTGATGTAAGTATGAAAAAGGTAGTTCAGGTTCATTCATTACTTAATTCCTGAAAAAGAAATAAATTCTTCATGATCCTTGCAAATCAATTGTACCTATCTTTAAATCAATTGTACCTATCTTCAAATGAATTAAGATCGGTATAATTCAATTGAACCTATCTTTAAATGAGTTGAAGATAGGTGTAATTCCATTAAAGATAGGTGTAATTCATTTGAACCTAGGTTTAATTATTTAGAGATAGGTAAAATTATTTACACCTATCTTTAATTCATTTAGACCTATCTTCAATTCAATTGTACCTATCTTCAATTGATTTGGAGATTGGTTCAATTATTTGAAGATAGGTACAGTTACTGTATTTGAAGATAGTTCAAATATTTGAATATATGTTAATTTGGCGTTCCATATGCAAGTACACAAAAGATTCTAAGAATATTATCGTAGGATGTTTTGCGTCCATAAAGGAGGAAATCCTCGCATGAAATAAAAGCCCAAGTCTAAATCCCAACTAAGACACACAAAATGAGATTGCCAAACATGCATTTCGATTAACTTAGTTTCCCTCCTTCCCATAATATCTGACTGAGGTTTAATTTTTTTTTCAATTTTTATTATTAACATTGTTTTGATAAAAGAGGTATACATAACCCAAAGCATGCGGACCGTATTGCTTTAACAGAAAGGTATTTATCTTGGTAGAATTTCATTACTTTTCATTTTGAACATCAATCATACTTTCAGTCAGAAATACATGGAGTTATAATACAAGATGGATTCGGGGAAAAGAAAACCCTGAATATAAAAAACAGCGATCCGAAAACGATTAGAGACTGGGACACCACTGTAATACTTATCTCCGACAGGTCAGCTAAAACAATGATATCAATCATTAAGGAGACAAGACGAAATCACGACGTATTTGTGGAGATCCCTGGATCATTCACCCGAGAAGGAAAAAATTATACGGTCCATGTATTTGGTATTTGTAACAATGACTCCAAGGTCGTTGCTGAATCCGAAGTATTTCTTGGTAAGGATTCTTGCCATATATACATATTACAATGTAGTTTGCACTTAGCTCGAAAACAGGTAAAGTCTAAAAGAAATTTATTGTACGAGATTTTGACCCACCAAAATAACTTCTATACAAAATTATTTCATGGTTCCGTTATAATATTTCTAAAAGAAATAAACAAGAGACCCAGAGCCCTAACGGTCACTAGAGCATAATACAACACTCTAAAGAATCCACAGAAGTATAAAATTAAACAGAATAAATTGATAGTTGAAGATATGTTGCCCAAAAGCAAGAGAAATATAATGATCAGGGACTAACAAAATAAAAAAAAATAGATCAATTTATTTGCCTGCACTTGCCAGTGCTAAATTACACTCCTAAATGTCACTAATCACCATGCATATTAAATAATACCACTGTGCTTGTGCACTTAAAGAAACCCATAACATTCTCTAATATTGGCCTCTCTTAGTCTTTGAAGAATATCTAATATACGAAGATAAGATATTTTGACTCATTTTTATTAATTTATTATTTACAAGTCTACCTGACCATTAATAACTATGAAAGTAACTTTTCTATAATGAAAAAAAAAAAAAAAAAAAATCTTGTGTATTAAATTCTTTTATTCATTCGACCTTTCAGTTACATTATTTACAGTAATAAATATCTACAGGTGAATAGCAAAGGGGAATAACTTCTCTGAATGGAGTACAAATTTCCCTACAAAATCAATAGAGCATGTCCAGCAACAAAAAAATTAACCCAGTGATACAGAATTTCACAAACTGGATAAACACACTCTTGCTCACTACAACTTTGTACTCTGTTTGCTTACCAAGTTTCAAGGAGCAGAGAAGATTTTCAAAGAATTAATGCATTTTCAGTGACGTTACTTTTTTGACCTACATTTTCTATGAAAGAAAAAATATAAAACCTAGTATGTTGTCAAATATACAATGCAGTTCATTGAAAATAATTAAATCAATAGAGTCCCATCCTAACACAAGAAGCCCCGACAGGCACCCTTGCTCATCATAACCATGCACTTAGTTTATCGACTAATAACCCAGAAACAGAGAAAAAAACTTTCATTGAATTAATGCATTTCATTAAATAATTAATAGAACCCACCCTTATAATAAAACTTCTGAACCAGGGACCTGAAATTCACAATATTAGAAGAAAAACCCTTGCTCATTATAACCATTCACTTAGTTGTTTGCCAAATACCCAGGAGCAGAGAGGAATATTTTCTAAGAAATCATGCATTTTTTACTATATGTGGTAATCAATAGAGTTCCATCCTAATACCTCAACCCCTGACCCAGGGGACGTAACATTCACAATTTTGGAAGAGGCACCTTTGCTCTTCATAACCATGCACTTATTTTGTTTGCTTAATACCCAGGAGCAGAGAAGAGAAGATTTTCAAAGAATTAATGCATTTTCACCATATGATCAATAGAGTCCCGCTCTAACTCAAGAGCCCCTGTCCATGGGGGCATGAGTTTCACAATTTGAGTAGAAGGCTCAATGCTTATATAATTATACCAACAGTTTGACTGCTTATTTTCCAGGAGTAACGGAGAAGATTTTTAAAAATTGCACTAATTTTGATGTTTTTTGTCCCATCCTCCAGGCCCCTGGGGGTGGGAACATGAATTTCCTTTTTTGTTTCCCTTAACCCATATATGCTATATACCAAATTGGTTGAAATTGGTTCATCAGTTCTAGAAGAGAAGCTGAAAATGTTTAAATGTTGACGGAAGACGAATGACGACGGACGAAAACTGAAAGCAATAGGTCACCTGAGTGACTCAGGTGACTTAAAAATAGAATAAATGTTTACCTTTGCCTACTGTAGAACTTTCAGAACATTCCTTTACATGTAAAAGAAGCATCGTTAGTTAACAATTTACATTTATTCAAAAGACGAATCAAAGACAAAATAATTAAAGGATAAAAATTTATGGAATTCATTTGCTAATATTCCTTCTTAGAATTTAAAAAAAAAACCAAATGTTGTAAAAGCTGGTGGCATCTAAAATTAATTGAGGATTATATTGTTCACTGTTCTATTTAATACAGATCCTGGACATACTGAGAATGAGTTTGGATCGTCTTTCGTGAGTGACCGTAGTTTTTAATGAAAATTAAATTAATGAAATTTTTCGAGATACATTATTTCAACAATTATCATGTTTCATTACAGAATACTTTTGAAATTACCTTACTACACACTCCGCCGTCAAATTACAAAATTCAATTCTCAGATTCAAACATGGCATATTTTGTCTTCCTATCGGATCTCGATGCGAATGAGAAATTTTTCTTTGACTGTGCCGGGAGTACTTATGAATTTCCTATGCATTTGGAACCAATGAAAGACTACCAGTTAAGTGTTTACAGAGGAAATGATTTACATGGTGGAAAACACCTTTTTTCTTCCATTGCAAGATTAGATTTCCGAGCTTGTAAGTATTCTGAGATCAATTTATAAATTGTGCGTTGATACAGAATTTAAAAACAAATGCCTGCAAAATTCAGAAAGTAGATCACTGTGACCTTCTTTATGATAAATATGTTTTAAGGTTCCAAGATGCATCAACTTACAAGGATGGATGATTCTAAACCTCACAGTATCTGAAATAATGACCTTAAGGACAAACGCAACGTAGTTTGAACTTTATTGTCTTTTTCCCTGGAGTTGAAGACTTCCAGTACTTAAAGAAACTGTGTGCTACATTTTAATGTCTATATATGCTCTTGCATACTTCTTCTAAAATACATTTGGATAAACAAAACATCTAAAATATATGTTTAGTAATTTTTGCATATTTTTCTTTGAATTATACAAGAATTTTCATCAATTGATATATTTTCAAAACCCCTGGTAATGCATGCTGATTTTTTGTCTACGAACATCTGATGGCACTATATTCTTAAATTAAGAATATCTTGAAAAATTATCAGCAGGTAAGGTACGTTGCATATGTCCTTAAATTTTTTGGAAAAGTTTAGCCATAAAATTCATTCAAAAAGTGAGTCAAGGTGACCTACTTTTCAGTTGCATACTCCGAGGACACAAGATGCATCAACTGACAAAGTTTGATGATCATAAGGCTTTAAAGTGTTCAAAACATGCCTCTTAATCAATTTGAAAATGAATGCCTGCAAAATTCAAAAAGTAGGTCACCATGACCTACTTTCGAGTCAACATGATACGAGGTCCTAAGATGCATCAACTGACAAGATTTGATTACCCTAGTCTTATAGTAAGCAAAATATCAAAGTTTTAACAAAACATAATTTCGGGTCAACTTTGAAGTCAGCTTGAGACCACGACCTTTTCCCTGGGCCTTGAAGAATTTTTAATTTACAACATATCCTCATCCTTATATGTAAGCTTAGTGATAATCTGCCCTGTGGTTCTTGAGAAGAAGACTTTTTAGCAACCAGTACTTTTGTTTTTATTTTCCTGATTATCTCCCCTTGTTTAAGGATCACATCCCTTGTTTTAGAAAAAATGAGAGCCCTTGGGCAGGGCCAAGGATACTCTGTGACAAATTTGACAAAAATTGGGCTAGGGGTTCTTGAGATATGGCCCATATTCTAGAATGTTTACGCACAATGCACAAATGGCCATAGCATTAGCTCTTTGACTCAGAAGAGCTAAAAATGAAACTTTCTGCATCTAACCTTATTAATTTTGCTTATATAAATATAATTTTAATTGATCTTTTCATGATTTTTGAAGAAAAAAAAGTTTGATGGATCATCATCCATCCTCAAATCTATAATTCACTTTTGGTATTATTTTCCTTTTAGTTATGACTAAGAGAGAGATAAAATTGCTCTGTGAAAGAGGGGCCAGATTCCGTGAAGCACTCTTTGTACCCATCTCCCATCTCTATAGAAACAAACCACAGGTTTACTATGACAACATATTTCAAAGGAATCATGGAATTATGGGTAAATACCTGAAAAATGATGGCGGAGATCAGGCATCTGTATTAAACAGAGCGATACAGGGTCTTTTTTTCAGTGCCTACTTACAGCGTCAACCCAATGGCTTCTTCCTTCCACCTATGGCCTCACCTTTTGGAGATACAAGACTGAACATCCCAATTACCTTTTTCCTTAATCCGAGCAATAATTTGTATTTTGCTGATTTTTTCTGCCATGATTATAACCATCATGTAACTCTTGTTATAACAGTAAAAGGTAGTTATTCTGATAATTTTTGTAGAGAAAGATTGATTATATTAGATCCCACTGATAATCCCTTTCTATATTTTGATGTCTATTCAAAAATGTGTTTTGTAAACATGGCAGTAAACACTGAAATATTATATACAGAGAATATTAATGTAGGAAGTTTATTAAGAGCAAGAAAAGCATTCTTTACAAGGTGTCAGGCAATTGGTGCTTCTAAAAGTAAGTCTTTTATAGGTAGACCTAAAAATGAAAATTGTAAAATTTGCAATTTAAAAATTAGCTAAAATGAAAATATTGAGGTCTTTTATGAGGTAATTTAATTTCTTTTAATTCAAATTTCACTCAGTTGAATATCATGTTTTGAAACACATTAAAAAACTTCTGTATTTTCTATATTTCAGCAACGAATAAATATTTTTTGACATGCATTTGTGTGTAACACGAATGACTGTTCCGACAAAATGAATTACACCTGTTAGATGTGCATGTACAAAATTTAAATTTTTTTTTTTTTTCAAATTAAATCTATGTTCACATATTTTTTTTATGGTTCAGGTTTTAATTTCTGCTTGTTTTAAATCTAAAAAGGAAGAGAGTTTTTATTTTTGTCATTTACAATTTAATTACATGTATTTATATTTTACTTTACATGTACATGTATATTGAAAAAACATTTTAATGTCTTAAATCAATGCACAATTCAGGTCATCTCAATGTTAAAAGTTTTTTCTAAAGCTTATTAGTTTTTTTTTTGTTTTTTGTTTTGGAAAATATGTCAATTAATTGTAAAAAATAAATAACTAAACAATCGACGAATGCTTATTGAATATTTATTTATTCAACACAGCAGTCATTTGGCATTATATATTTACTTAAAATATAATTCCTATCTAATAAATCACGTAATTTATTAGGGATAGGGTTATATTTTTCCCGATTAAATAGACTAAATATTATGTCAAAGTATCTGTGGACACACATTCAAAAATCCCACTGCATTGGTGAAATACGTAATCTTTTGTAAGAACTGTAGGTTTTTAAACCTATTAAAGAACATTGAGTCCTGTAGGATTTTCTAACCTATTTCTAGAGAAAATAACGAGGAGGATTTAGTCCAGAAGGATTTTTATGCCGATTTCATCTGGCACATTTAGCATTGAATGTTTTTTTTAAATCAATTTCTACAGAAAATCACACGAGGAACATTTAGTCTTGTAGGATTTTAAAAGCTATTTCTACAAATAAAAAAAAAATCAAGTGTAGCATTGGTTAGCCCTGTAGGATTTGAAAACCGATTTCCGCAGAAAATCACACGAGGAACTTAGGATATTTCTTTTACCGATTTCTACAAAGAATCATGTATTTGTGGCACTTTTAGCTTTGTTTCATCCCCTATAATTCACACCTACATGTAGGTTAAATTAGCCCTGTAGGATTATGAAACTGGTTTCTACAAATTTCACAATGAGACACATTTAGCCCTATAGGAATTTTAAAATGATTTCTACAAAAAATTCACAATGAGACACATTTAGCCCTATAGGATTTTTAAAACGATTTCTGCAAAAAAAAAAAAAAAAAAAAAAAACACAATGAGACACATTGGTCATACATGTATGTAAGGTTTTTAAACCGATTTCTGCTGAAAAATCACTGGAGGAATATTTAACCCTGTAAGATTTTTCTTTTACAGATTTCTACAAAAAATTATATGAGACACATTTAGCTATGTATGATCTACTAAAATACAGACAAGACCAAATTATCCCTGTAGGATCTCTGAAATCCACAAGAGGCACTTTTAACCCTCTAGAATCTTCAAAAATTCATATGTGGCACATTTTGCCCTGTAGGATTACAAAACTGATTGTTCCAAAACCTTTCAAAACATAACAATGACAAAAGTACTTTGACACATTTAATGCATACATAAGAATATAAAGCAGTAACAACATACTGTAAATAAATAAAAACAAAATTTGTTCATTGTATATTGCACCTAAAACCCTGCTTCTGCATCTTATAATGCCAATCTTACAGATAATCTTAGAAAGACAGATATATTTACTGCTGTCTTGAATTTTTGATATGAACATAACTCTGTTTCTTACACCATAAGAATGGCACAGTTTCACATTACATTGTAATGATAAATGGTATTCCAATTTTTATGCAAAGCAATCATGGAGCGCAAGAGGTAGAAATATTTCACTGGCTCAGAAGTTTATAGATTGTACTTGAAGTTATTCAAACAGTCTTTACATCACTGGGTTCTTTTTTTCTTACAAGCTTTAATTTATTACTAATAACGTGGGTTCTGAATTTAAAAAGGAATATTTCACGAAATCTTCTTTTTAATAAGTAAGACCGTTCAATTCATAAAACATACCTTCCTGGTTCTCTTTTGAATAAACAAATGAAAATAATTGTTTAGTATTGGTTAATCTATATTTCAGAATAAAAAAGAGGTATAATGCTTTTATCTAGTACTAAGTAGGCAAGTATTATGACAATTAAAGATATGCATTCTTGTTCACCATTGATACTCATAGTTTGTTTAAAATTCACATTATACCTATTCTGTTAAATGTAGTAAATACTGTACTTGCAATTCTAATATACATAAATCTTTAAATAAAATGCATTGAAATTCTTGTGAATAATACCCACAGAAGTCATTCAATCTTTGTTGACCATCTATTTTAAATTATCAATTATTTTTGTCAAAGGGAGATAACCGTTTGCCTACTTTTCTTGCATTCAAACAATTTTCAGGAGATTTAGACACAAATGATATTCGGAAAAAAAAAATCACTGTACTATTACAGGTAAATCTTGAGAAAAATCCTGAGTTAAAAATTGTTAATGATGAGAATTTCATATAAACATAAGCGATTACTAATTTAGAGTCATCTCTCATAGCAGTGACATTTTGTTTAATAAGCAGTGGCTGATGAAAGAACTTCAAAGTGATATATATTCTTCATAGCGTGAAAAAAAAAAATGTAAATATTTCTTCTATTTGATAAAGAACCTGTTTTGACTAAATGCCTCCATATACAATGCAATTAACAATCTAAAGAAAGTGTATAATTTTAAAAGAGCAAGGAGTTGTTTGTAAATCTATGCAATAACACTGCTCAAAAAGCAACATTACAACACCTACATGTATCTATCACTGACTGTAATAATTGGTTAATTAGAAATGCTAATTAGACTGGTCACTAGAACGTTCCTCCAAGGCTGAGGACATCAAAGCATATTTCACATACGCGTACAGGCTTAGGTAGGTTGTACTTAACAATAGGCATGTCTTTAGAAGAACACTTTGAACACAGTAGTCGTCCACAGTGACGGCTGAAAAGTTACAAGAACAATAATGTTTAACTACTTAATTGTTTGTCAGAATTTTTTGTTGATTTTTCGAAATTATTTGTCAATGTAGATTACTTACCAATGATGTTTTCTAGTTTTGATCCCAAATTTGACCCCACATTCCAAACAGATATCCCCCTCTGACCACGCAGGCTCAGAAGACAACATATCTATAGACAGAGGAAAGAAAATCATAGTTCTTAATTTTTTCTACTTTCAAAACATTTTCCAAACACACCTTCAATTAAAACTGAAATCCTAGTTCTTAATATATTTTCCAGAATATTTCCCAAAACATCTTCAATTGAAACTGCTGAGACTTTTTCTGTCCTCTAAAACATTAAAATAAATTTTAAGCATGAAGCCATTACCTAGTAATTTAAATAAGAGTTGTTTAGTAGCTACAGGTGCATTGAAGATGCTGATTCCCTGTTTGTTCATCGTTCCCAGTCTGGCGCCAGCTCTCACCAGGCTCCGACAGAGGTTTCCATTACCATTCATGTAAGCCAAAAGCAAAACTGAAAAATAAATAGGAAAAACAGCATAGTAACATTTATATTTGAAGAACACAATGAGGAGCTCATTTCAATGATGTGAAAGTTGCTTTTTCTGTCAAAGCTTCTTTGATACTGTAATAGAGCAGTAAAATGGACTAATACATGAACTAGCTGTAGAATAATTCATAGCACTAGAATAATCAAGTCTGAGTCTAATGAAATGAAGAGTACAAGTTTTTTTTTTGTTTTTTGTTTTTTTTTTACCAGTATTGCCTTCAGCATCAGGAATGTCCAGCGGATAATCTGGCATGGTCTCTCTAAATAGTTCAAACATGGCTGCTGCATTTTCCTTTCCATACTGACCGAGGGTATGGAGTGGTGTCTGTCCCCTTAATCAAAATATGGAAATTGTTTTTAAAAAAATACAAACTGAGAAAAATCTGAGTAGTAATACTTTTGAATTGTTTGACATGCATGTAAAAATTTGTCAAAAATTATTTTCAGTAATTTGGCATGCAAGAAATTATAAAAGATCTCTTACTTTGCATTCACAGCCTCTGCATTGATTCGAGATTCTGTCAGCAAAACTCTCACCGTGTTAATATTCCCATACATAGTGGCCACATGAAGAGCTAAAGATAAAGTATAAAGAACTCAACTACGCATACCAAACATCAAATTATTCAAGTTCAACCTACCTCTAGCATACAAGACTTAATTATGATGAAAATTTTAAAAATCTGACCATTTCTATGATTTTCATCCACAGCATCATAATCTATTTTATTGCTAAGCAGAATCGAACAGATTGCAGCGTGATCCTTCTCTGCTGCTAAATGTAGCGATGTTTCATCCTGCCTGGTTCTAGCATTTATATCTGCTCCAGCTAGCAACTAAAATTAAGTATTACACAAACTTAACAAAGAACATCTCAAAGTGACCACATGTACCTATCTGTCTAACAGGTGATTGAAAGCTTTAGAATAAATCTTTGCAGATATCTTTTTACATATTCCATTGAATACTGTGCATGAAATGTACATTCAATTCTTTTGAAAGCTTCTCAAGGTAAGGAAATGTACCTTGATACAATTACAGAAAGTAATGTTACAAAATTACCAGATTCCTGACAATCATCTCAGAGCCTGCCATGACAGCTAGGTGGAGAGGCATTAGTTTCTTTGAGTCTTGAGTGGGAGAGTTTACATTGGCCTGGACACTCATCAGGAACAAGACACTCTCAATATCACTTTTCTGTATCGCTGTATGTAGGAAGTTGTAACCTTTATTATCCACCTACAAAATACATGTTCTTGTAAATTAAATTAATTAAAGAAAATTTATAAGTCTACATAGGACAAAAAAAATAATGGAAGGATACCCAACTCTCCTTTACAAAAATATACAAGCATAACAGGAAGGGAGAAAACATATGGCTGGACCAGGAATCAAACCCAGGACACAACCACCACATCACTAGTCAGGTGCTCTACCAACTGAGCTACCCAGGCCAATGTCTAAGGTCCAAACCATTACACAAGCTTTACTGACTGCTGGTGATTTTAAAGTAATGATACTTCAGAGGAACAAGTACATTCAGTTCTCAAGTTTAACCTGTTCTGCTGCATTGGGCTCTCTATTCAGGATAGCCTGAGCTGCCTTGTTGTTTTTGGTTGTCATGGCAGCTGCGAAGGGAGTTAATCCTGATCTGTCTCTGACTGTCAGATCCAATCCTGGATGTGCCAGTAAAAGGGAGATAATCACAGTATGCTGGTTCTCTATTGCTATGTGGATTGGCGTCTTTCCCTCTGCATCCTACAAAGTTTTCAAAGAGCAAAATTATACTTTAACTTTATTTAAAATATACATGTAGTACAGTGGAATCATTCTTTTTTGTGAAGGTCAGCGTTCAAAGGAAACTAAAATTTTAATGGTTTGTGGGGACATAATTTTGTGGGTAATACATACATACAGAAGATATATGAATAATGAGCCAATACATTGTAACAGTTATTGTTCATGGGAATGTAAATTAGTGGATAAGGGTGACCTACAAAATCCATAAAACATTGGTACTCCATGAACACTGATGATTCCACAATAAACTTTTAAATGATTGTCAAACACATTAAGATTGTACATAAATGTTTATTCTTGTACAGGTAAACATCATTATCTCAACATCGGCGGGACTTTTGGAATAAGTCGAGATATTCGGGGTGTCTCGATATCAGAGTTGAGACTTGGCATCCAAGATTTCACTGCATAGCAAAACAATGACAAGTTTATTACTTACATGACTTCAATAGACAGTAGTTTGTCTTATTTTAGCAATCCCTCTATACTTATTACAAAATCTAAGAAGTTATTAAGAAATATATATATTATTGATAAAATGTATTCCTTCTCCACATCGAAATCTTTCTAAATTGACCAAGTTTTCCATCCAGCATTCCACGTGTAACTTTTGTTTATGTCAGAACAGAATATGAAATGCGCTGTGTAAACTTCAAACCATATAAAGTCGGCATCCGACAATCCAACAAAAAATGCATACTTTTTTCTTATTTTGTTTCGGGAGAAAACTCATAAAAAAATAAAATTTTAAAAAATTTGTGTATTTTAACTAATGCAGTTATGTTACATATGCATGAATCACGACTGATTCAGTTAAACGTGTCGTTGATTGGATTGTAACCTATTGAACGCATTTTTACCACAAAATATCATTTAAAAAATCGCTTAATTCCTTAGTTTGAATTAAATTCAATGTGTTTGTAATTCATTTATCCAGTTTATTTTTCAAATTAAAATTATGTTAAATTACGATATAAATAAATGTCTGTACATTATGCAGAATTATGTATATTTATCAATGATAATATCCAAGCTGTTAGGCAATTAATGTCTCCTAAAATGGCAGTGGGTGCTTGGGCTTCTTCTACAAACACAATCTATAGAAATAATTAAGCAGTCTGTAGTCAAAATATGGGTGTGAATTTCCTACGATGTTGAGATACATGGAGTTGACCATGCATAAAGAGTGACCACCTGACAAACAGTTATGTCTGATAGAGCAGAAAATTGCCCGACGTCGACATATATCAGGTAAATTTTCCTCTTGGGAATGTGAACATACGTCGAGATAAGCCAGGTAGTTGACATTACCGACATATCCGAGTTTTTGCAAATCATTCATATAGTAAATACTGCCGGGACCACTGACAGACGTTAACATATCTCAGGTGGTCGACATATCCCAGGTTGTCGACATATCCGATCCGATATCAAGATACAAAAGTTTACCTGTATATGTGTTTTTTTTTTTGGGGGGGGGGGGTTATTTCAGTTTATAGTTATGCCAAGATGATATAATACATACTAGGGATGCGCGACTTTATCGGTATACAGGTATATCGCGATTTTTTATTGCGTGATACGTATCGGGATACGGAGACTAAAATACCGGTATTTGGTACATAACTATAAATTCCGGAAATTATTCATTTATTTGTTTAAACTATTGAATGGCAATTACAGGAAGTGTAAAAAATGTTGAAAACAGTTAAACAATGGTATAAAAACATGCTTTATATTAAATAAATAAAAATTTAAAAAGTAAAGTTATGTTTTTATAGCCATATTTTCAAGAAATATTACGGAAATTCATTTGAAATTGTAGTAAAAATTGCGTGTAAAAATATCACAATTTATCATGATATTTTTGGAAAAAAATCGTGATATATCATGATACGAAATTTTTGCCAATACCCATCCCTAATACATACCTTGGTATTGACATTAGCATTATGTTCCATCAGGCACTGGACCACTAGTTCAAGTCCCCAGGTACAGGCCAGATGCAGTGGGGAGCATCCATCCCTGTCAATGACAACAAAACTTATGATACCTTTGAAAAAGAATTCTCAGTGTTGTCTTATATCTGAAACAATAGTACTTTTTCAGTCAAGATATACTAGTTTCAACTAATATTAGGTACGAATAATTACATTCATATGTTTGATTAAAAATGTCTTTCATTTTTGAAATGTTCATTAAGGTTTGAACTTAGACCCTTCACATGAAATTACATTAAAACTTATACAAATGAATCCTAAAAGCAAAAGCATTAATAATGTAAAGTTTACTTTTTGAACAAATTATAAATGCAAAACATATCCCTATTTGTCATCCAGACAAGTGGATTAAAAGTGTGTTGACAGTCAACATTGATGCTCATCCACAAACCTTGCTTCATCCTCTCCTTCTCCATTTAACCCTGGCCGTCGAGGACTATTTTTGTCACAGCCACTGGGAAAAGAAAAAAATCATTAAATACTAGTATAATTAATGCAAAATTCAGCATAAAAATGAAAATACATGTACCATGAAGTATGATTTATGATAACTAAGATGCAAAAAACAAATCTAGACACAAAATCTAAACATAAAAGTAAATTTATGTACAGGATGTAGAAAGAAATTGAAATTTCTCATACTTCTTAATGAGAAAGCAGGCAATGGATTCATTGTTCTCATCAATAGCCCTATGTAGTAGAGTCTGTTGGCACTTCCCTGGACCCTCAGACCAAAGATCAACATCACAGCCATGCTTAACCTACAAAAAATTACAACAGAAATATAAGGTGAATCAAACATATATATGAAGATTTTTTTTATGTGTAGAGAAGCCATCTGACATTCTTAACGAGCATATTGTAAATAAAGTGTATTGATAGAATTACAGCATAAAGTTTAAAGAATACCTGAAGCAAGAATTCTTTTGTTCTTACCAGAACTTGAGCCACATCCTCCTGGCCTGAGTCTAGAGCCTGCCACAGAGGGCAATCCCCTTCTTTGTTCTTGATATTTAAGTTAGCTCCCTTTTTACTGAGAACATCAACAACTACAGGCAGGTGGCGCCTTATAGCATGCTGCAGTGGTGTCTCAAATTCATTAGTTCTGTATATGAAACAATATTCAATTACTATTTTAAATATATGTTTTTAAATACAGCATGAATCTACCAATAAAATTTTCTTTCAAAAATAACAATCAATGAAATTTTCATCCATATTCACAGCTTACTAGTTGATAGTATAATTATTGAATACAGTGCATTTAAAAGTTGCCATATACTTTATTGTAAGGTCAGCTTGGTGTTCTATCAAAAACAATGCACTTTTGGTGTCCTGTTTTTCTATAGCCTGGTGGAGGAGAGTCATGCCATCTGCATTTTTCTCATTTATATTGGCCCCTGCTCCCAGCAGACGATCAGCCTCATTATGGAGTCCTGACCACAAAGCAAGACCCAGAACAGTTTGTCCCTCGGAATCCTTGATGTTAAAGTTTGGTAATATCTTAAAGGAGTCCTCACTATGAGCTGCTTTGACTGTAAAATTATAAAAATTAAATTACTTTATTGTTTCTGAAGTTCAAACCAGAGTAATTAAATTTTAAATTTTAAAATTTTCCTAAAATTATTTTTGGTATTTGTTCCATAAAACAAAAATCAATATTTCATCATACTTTTATGTTGAAGAAAGAGTTCTACGATGCTGGAATGAGAGTTGACTAGTGCTAAGTGAAGTGGTGTTTGTTGTGACACAGGAGTTGTCTCCTCTTCTAGACCGAGATGATCAACAGAGGGGGCATGAGTCTGTGAGTTTGGATTAGCTCCCTTGTCTAGTAATACCTCTACAAGTTGAGTCAGCCCATTTAGGCAGGCTAAATGTAAAGGAGTTTCTCCCTAAAATAAACAAATATGTAAACATCTCACTTTTATTATTATCAGACATTCTAATATCTAAAGTTAGTGTAATTGAAGAGTGCTTGAATATTCTAATTATATTTTTCAAAGCACTTTGTTGTAAGTCAAAGTTATTTTTTTATTCATTTTTTTTATTGCCAAATTAGGATTAAACACATATGAATTCCAATTTTAAATATACATTATGTATATGTTCACCACTGAAAATGATAATAGTGTATATTTATAAACAGAAGACTTGCTCTACCTTGCTATTTGTGAGATTCACTTTTGCTGCATGTTTTGCTAAAAATATCCCTGCTCTTGAGTTACCACATCGAGCACATAAATGTAAAAGGCAGTCACCTACAAATAAATTGCATTAAATAATCCATGTGTTCCAATCTCAGGTAATACTAGACAGGTTCAGGTACATAGGACAGTAAAATGTTATACCTGTCTCAGGCTCCACTGCATCAGGGGAGGCCCCTTTAGCAATCAGCTGTGCTGCAAAACTAGAGGGACCATACACTTGCTCTGCTGATCCACCTAGCTCCTCCCCCTACAAACATATATCTCTTTATATACAAACTCATAAAAAGATACAGATATATCTAAGTATTAAAAATTTCTTAATGGTTTATTACATGTATCAATTATTACACCTCAGATTTTGTGTACCTGTTGTAGAGCAAGCCATAGAGGAGTGTGGCCATCAGAATTCTTCAATTCAAACCTCACCCTCCCACAGTTCAGGAGGATCTTCAGAACTGGCTCATTCTTATTATACACTGCACAATGTAGAGGGGTACTGAAATGGACAATACTCAGTTCTTTACATGAAAAAGGAATAAAAGATCAAACAATCTGACATACTGGTACCCATGGATACATCTGCTCATGAATATAATAAGCCTCTAGTTTAAAATCTGTAATTTCAAAATGCACATTTGAAAACAAATCACACACACCTTCCAGAAGCATCTTGCAAGTTTGGATCAGCATCATGGTCGATCATTTTCTGAGCCAGTCGAGCCATCCCCGCCATGACCTCTGACTCAGTGACCTCGGGGTTAAAACTGGCCACCATGTGTAGAGGACTCTCCTTGTCTAGGAAGGTGGTGAGGTTTACATCTGCATGGTGCTCAATCAAGAAGGTGGCAGAAAATTCATCCGCTGAATTGAAAACAAAATTCATATTTTAAATGACATTTTAACAGAATTTCAATTTTACATACACTTACTTAAGATACTGTGATGTCTGCAGTATTAATCTTGCTGCACATATGATGTCATACTGCATTGAAAAGAAAGTTCATTGCAGACAGTCTGATAAAAACCCAGAATAATTCCTACTGACCTCTTTTAATGGCCTTGTGGAGAAGACATTTCCCTGCATTGTCACGGCGATTAACATCTACTTTATGATTGACAAGTGTCATGGCAATACTCTCCTGTCGACTACTCAGGGCCAGATCTAAGGGGAGGTCACCCCTGTTATCTACTTCATTCAACTTGTCTACCAACTGCGAAAAATGTTGTACAATTTCAGTCATCTGCCTTCAAAATGTGATCTAGCAACCTTTCTACTTAGCACATAAAGCTCTCATTAACAAGCCCTGAAGTCCTCATTTCCTAGGTCAATATAATCTCTGATAAAAGTTCCTGAGAAATTGTTATCTCTGGTGAAAGTTATAATTCTTAGGCTCATGGATAAGCTCAAAACTTGTAGGCTATTAAAATATCACTCAAAATAATTATTTTCTTGAAGGAAACAAAATGGTAATATAGTAAGTAAAATGTACTAGAAGTGATTGAAACAAATGTAGGAGAACTAAAAAGTGACTTAATTAAGAGAGATAATCAGCTACTTTGATGAAAAGAAATAACCAAACTGGAATCAAGAGGCCACCTATGAGTCACATTTGTTCACCTGATTTACTACGGCCCTGCTGTTCTCCATCAGCAGATTGCCCCCTCCCTTATATTCCTATGTAAAACTTTAATCACATAATGTATCCCCACCTTACCCAGCAGTCATGAATTAACCAAATTTGAATTTACACTACCTGAAGATGCTTTCATATAAATTTAAAATTATGGCTTTGCTGTTCTTATGCAGATAGTTTTTGAAGATTTTTCCTATAAATTCCTATTTTAATCTTTGATCGCCCATCCCCCCCCCCCATTGGCCATTGTGGCCCCATCCTTCCCCCACGGTATGATTTGAATAAATCTGAATCTATATTACCTGAGGATGTTCCCATATAAATGTGAATAATCATAGCTTTGCCGTTCTTGAGAAAATGGTTTTTAAAGATTCTTCCTATATATATTCCTTTGTAAAACTTTTATCTCCCATTGTGGTCCCACCCTTCCCCCAGGAGTTATTATTTAAACAAATTTGAATCTACACACCTGAGGATGCTTCCATATAGATACGTCTAATCATGGCTTTACTGTTCTTGAGAAGAAGATTTTTAAAGATTTTTCCTCTGTATACCTATGTAAAACTTTGATCACCTAATGTGGCAACACCCTAGCCCCAGGGGTCATGATTTGAACAAAATTAAATGTACACTATGTCAGGAAGCTTTCACATAAGTTTCATCTTTTCTGGCCCAGTGGTTATTAAGAAGAAGATTTTTAAAAGATCAAAATCCCCTTCACCCAGGGATGCTTTGTGGCAAGTTTGGTTGAAATTGGCTCAGTGGTTCTTAACAAGAAGTCAAAAATGTGACAAGTTTACAGATGACACACAATAGACAACAGATGGACGCCAGACACTCTATGATCAGAAAAGCTCACTTGAGCCTTCAGTTCAGGTGAGCTAAAAAAACCCATAAAAGTAATAAAACTTGTGAACAGAAAAGTTGTATCAACAGAAAAAAATATTTCCTAGTAGTTAATTCATTCATTTAATATTTGCAAAAACTGATTCATATTTACTTGCCTATTAAAAAAAATGGGTAAAAATTTCCTCGTGAAAAGTACCCCATATATGGATATAAAATATGAATGTTGATTAACACAGACAGCAGTTATTTTAGTGTTATCTGGGGTTAGGGTGAGTAGTTAACATTTTACATCCAAGCCTGTTAAGTCCATACAATGAGAGTGTCAATTAGTAAGTAAAGTTGTAATGTATATGTACAATGAAAATGAAATTTTAAATACAAAAAATATGCCTGATAGACATTATATAGTGTAAACATATATAAAGTTCCATGCAACTCTGCATGCATCTTTCTTGAATTGTTAATAAATAGTCTGTGATGATTAAAGAAAATGGTCCAGTAACCATGGGATTCTATAAATAGAAGGGCATTCCTTACCTTGCCACGGAGCTGAGAGAGGACAATTGTTAAAAGTATTAATCAAGAATCTGTTCACTCATATCTTCACAATATTTTACAATCATGCCGTAAAAACACATACAACATAAAACATAGGCAAAGAATATCTGAGAGATTAGATTAATTTCTTTGATTTTTAAACTTTGACAATATAATTGTTTTTTACCCCTACATGATTAATTGAAAAATTAAAGCACTGATTTTAGTCACACACAGACACACAACATATTAACTGTACAGACAACAAAACATAATCATGCACAACTCAAAAAAGAAACAAAATTGTTTCCCAGTTTAAAAAAGGAATTTGACAAAGCATAAACAGGAAAATACATCAACTCTCTATGTAACTGTTATCATAAGGAGGTAATCTGTCTCACCTGGGCGTCGAACTCAATCAGGTACAGGAACACTACATCCTCCCGCTTGGCTCTGATGGCTGTATGGAGAGGGTGCTCAGACTTGGTCTTAAACATCTGGTAAAGGAGGGGGGCAGGCATGTGCTCAAAGTCTTCACTGGTGAAATCATTCTGTAGAGACATCATTACAAACTGAGTGTAATCTACTATGACAAGTGCTAGTCAGTCTTTACCAATAAATATAAATATTGATTTAATGACTGTAATGCTTCATGCTAATGTATTCAATATTAATGCAGTAATTAATTCAATAACTATCATGGAAACATTTTGTCACATGTGGAGATGGTGAATCCACAATATTTATATTGTTAATCACTGAACCATGCTACTTTAGTGATTATCATGATGTACAGAATGCAATATCCCAGTAAACCAAGGAATTTGACAACAGGAAAGTGACACCTACATGTATCGGTATATTAACTTATGTAACTGAACAAACAGGAAGGGAATATATCAACTAATTTATAATTCAAAATTAGCAATTATGGCATCATTTTATCATTCATCTAGATGATTTCACTGAATTGATTTTGTAAACAAAGTGAACCACATTCCCTTCACAACTTTAAAACTATCACTTTGCAATAACAACTTGATCTACACATATACATGTATTCATATTTTCATCATATTACAGGGAAATCAATAACTTATCACAGACATATTATATCCTGTTCACTCACCCAGTGATTTGATATCAGCTCTGAGCAATGATTCTTTAAAAGTTCAGCCTGAATTTCCTCAGCTGTTTGGTAAAACCTAATGCAGTTCTTCATGTTAACAAAGGACATCAGACCATTTTCACATCTGTTCAAATTGAAATAAAAAAATTTACTTATGAACTGTCCATTTTAACTAACCAATATGGAAGTAAATTATCACTACTGATTTGTTTCAGTAATGAAGCAATTTACTTTCCATGTTTCTGATACAAATAAAAGTAATTTAATGTTTACTAAAAATACAACATTATTTTTTTTTTTAATGAATATTGACAAAGAATGTTCTTTTTAAAAGGTAAATGTTAACAAACTTTCCTTGGCCAAGCATTGATGACCTGAGGCACAGATAATGTGAAAATAAAATAAAAATATAGGTGCAAAGGAAAGTTTGTTTACTACATGTACAAGTGTATATGGACTTTTTCAGTACAGGTTTTCACTTTCAGTGTTCAAGGGCCAACATGTTTTGGAAAAAAATGTAAAATCAAACCTTGCATGGTAACTAGAATTTATTTTTATGTTATCTGTTCATCATCGATGTTCATATGCTTGTCTTCCCACTAATTATCTTCTTTCAATAAAAGCATTGTGATAAGCTCAACCAAAGAATGACTGACACAATCTTCAGGTAGTAGCCCCCCCCCCCCCCCCCCCCCCAAAAAAAAAAATTTTGACAGTGGTATTAGCAGAGACAGCTACAACCTGAATTATTGTGGATAATATTTAGAAAATCTGTGATAAATATAAAACATGTACCTCTCCTGTAAAACTTTTAACTTGAAACGAGTGGCTGTGCGCAGTAATTCTAATAAGAAGAGCTCATCAGTCTTTATGTCTATGCTGTCTGTATATACCCATTTCATCAATGCATAAGAAACTTCATACTTTATATCTGTTAGAAAAATGACAGGAAAATGACTGTTTTTTCCTTAATTCTTTTATTAAAAGCAATAATATGTCATGAAATTTACCCAATTCAAAAAGGATTATTTTCAAAATATTGAATCATTCAGGATCATTATCAAATATCGTAAGTTTACTGATTCATAAATTAATTTTTGGAATGATGGATGTTAATAATTTATTATCTGCAAAGCATGTTGATCACATGCTTAAAAAAACAAAACACTTGAATTAAATGCTTACCTGAGAGATCAAGAGTTGTGACTTGTGAAAGGTCATCCACACCCCAGTAATCGCTTCTAGCTGCCAAAACAAAACGATGGCCCCTCAAATTCCTGGATCCTTCTAGACTTACAGTCAAATCACTGACAAAGAAGGGATCATGATAAAATACATCACAGAAGTTTTAAAAGACAAATGATTATTTCATATATGTCTTTTGACCTATGTCACAATTCCTGTGTATATATCAACTATTATGTTGTATGGATATTTTAAACTACCAGCAATCCTCTATAAATCATTAAAGAGGTTACTGTCCAAAACATCCAAAATTATAAAGTTTACAATTTATTTTAACAGTAGACATTTTTTTAAGGTATTGAAGTATCACCTGTTGAATAGGATTCATCATTTATGTCAAATATATATAATTTATACCAAATGAATGGTTGATTACAACCATTTGTTAAAATGATGTTTATTTCTGGTGCAGGCAAATTAAGGGTGCAACGATAAACCGTTTGACGGTATATCGCGGTATATTTCTCCACAGTTCAATTCATGATACGCTAAACTGATATCGCGGTTCGGTTCAATCGGTCCAGAATTATCCGAATCGTCCGTTTTGTTTCCTTTTTTACAATTTCAAAATGGCTTCCGCGCAAAACGTGAGGTCGCCGATAACGCCTTAACGGAAGTTAAACTCATCTCCAGCATCTTACAGACCTCAGATTTAACACGGAGAAGGACTTAATGTGATTATAAGTTATAGATGTTAAGACAAATGTTAAACCCTTTAGATCTAAACGTATTCTTTGGTAATACACGATATTTCATCACCTGTGTATTTCGATGAAAATTCACTGTCTTGTTGACTAAAACGTGTTAACATGAGAAATATGACAACTGGTTTTCTACGTAAACAAAATGAATACAAGAATGAATGTCTTCCTTTTTCATTCCAATTTAAAAGGAAGATTATTAGGAAAGGTCCCCGTAGTTCCCTCTAAATGTTCATCATTGGTTTAGAAAATTGTCAAAACTCAAAGATATATACCTAACAATCCAATTCAAGTTAACAAAATTTTATTTTAATTATTATTAAAAAATATGAACATTTTATATAACCCTGTCAAGGTTTAAAAAAGAATATGATACAAACTTGAAAGACTTTTTAACCTTGTCATGTATCGTGATACGTATCGTATCGTGAACTGAATACCGTGATACGTATCGTATCGTGAGGTTAGTGTATCATTGCACCCCTAAGGCAAATGAAACTAATATATTCTTAAATGCAATGACAACAGACTATTTAAAGCATTTTCAAATGACCAATTACTATAAAAGACATGTCAGCTCCTTGCTAGGAACTTAATGGTGCAGTTCTTGACTAGGGACTGTAAAATGACTTTTGTCATCAGACCTATTCAATAAGTGTATACTTTGAATTTTTGATAAATATTATGCCTTAGATAATCAAATGCAAACAATCTATATTACTTAATAAGACCACTGCTGTTAAATAAACGAATATACCAATTCAAAATGAATGAGAAATTCATTATAAACATAGATACAACAAGAAATACAACCAAAACAAGTACCTATAGAGCTCTTTATCAAAAAGGTCTGACACAGTTTTCAGTAGCCTTGCTACAAAGTTGTCATCCCCTTCCTGTCCTAAAGCAGCTACAGCTATCTGATATTTCTTCTCGACCTCTGACAAGCGGTTCTGGAGCTTGACATATTCCTCTCTCAGCAGACTCAAGTGGTTCTGTAGCTTTGCTACCTCCCCTACAAAATATCCTTATAAACTTGAGCTTTGATTCATGCAACAAAATGAAACATCAATGAAATAAAAGTCAACGTATAAACATAATGAGCACATTATTTAATTGATATTCTCTCTTTTCGCGTCGTTGGTGTTTTATGAAATCCATGAAGGAAATTCGAACTGACTAAAGCTACAGTATTTCATGATTATCATTCAATAGCACCAATGTCCACGTAGAACATTAAACCAGATCCAAAATTACTTTGCATTAATTAGAAAATTAAGATGCATGTATTATCAGAGGGCAAAATTTATCTATACTTGAACTCCCAACCCATCGGGGAACAAACCTTCCGCCATTTTGTCTCATGGAATGATCATGTGACTTTGACTTTTACGGATTACAGTTATAGCTCTGGAAAAAATACAGCTTAATCACTATTGCAATTTTCATTCAGTAAAATGATATATGAAGGGATATTGTAACGATGATTGCGCATTATTTAATATCAAGCATGAATTTTAAAGGACAGCAAACATTTTCGTCTTTGTTCTTTTGTTCTGTGTAGGTTTTATTTTTAGGACCAATGTCTTATTTCTGGTGTTGATTTGGAAGCCAGAAGAGTAACTCATGTACCTAAATCGGTGTTTTATTCAAAAGCTTACAATAATTCTGTAACTGGAGTGCATTTTTAGGGTAATCAATGTATATTCCGAAGACAATTTAAAGAGAATGTCATTGTCACCCCATCTTATTCCTGCTCGACGGGTTGTCGTGACCGGTGTTGGGCTACTCACGTGTCTAGGAGTAGGCAAGGACAAGGTGTGGAATAATTTAATAAACGGACTATGTGGAATCCGTAATATTGATCAGAAAGGTTTGTATATATGATCTTTTCGGTATGCAAGTTACAAAGATTGCTTTATCAGTGTTTATGTTTTAAGGCCATAACAGTGTAACGTACGTAAGATATGCAAGGGTTCAACTGTTTACACTCGCAATCTAATTAATTTCCGAAAGTAGTATCCTCAGTGGGGTTTACAAATAATTAAAGTAAACATAGCCATAGGAACCGGGGGGGGGCATCCCCCCCCCCCCCCACTAATATTGCCGATATAAAGAATACTATAGAAAACATTGCTACTATATACTTGTGCCCCCTCAATAATAACGTCTGATGACCTTTTTTTTTTTTTTTTTTTTTTTTTTTTTTGCTTGTCAAGAAATTTTGGTAGTTGATAGTGCCCCCCCCCCCCCCAACTGAAAATGTATGGTTGTGCCCCCTCAAAGTGAAATTGCTTCCTACGGACCTGAGTAAAAAAAAAAAAGAGAAAAATAGAAAAGATGATTGTGCTAGCAAGTTTTATTTACCAATGAGTTTTTAACAGGAATATAATGTCCTATGTTACAAATCGGAAAGTTTTACATTTAGTTGAAAGCTCTGCAACAGTATAAAGCTTCCAATGTTTTTTCAGGGTGCAAGTAATTATACCTGAATCATTATGGTTTTCATCAATAACAATTAGATTTTAATTTACAAATTTGAAAAAGAAACATACTGGTATTTTTTCTAGAATTTCCATCAAATATTCCCTGTAAAATAGCAGGGTTTATTCCTGAGGATGTGAAAACACATTTCAGTTCAACAGAACAGAGGCAGTTGTCTGAGGGGATAATGTATTCCCTGATTGCTGCAGAGGAGGCTCTCTCAGATGCAAACTGGAAACCTGAAACTCAAGAGCAGCAAGAGAGAACAGGTATAAACACCTTTTATCATTATGAATGTCACTACATCAATATGCAGACCAATAATATAACAATGATAAATTGTTACACATACAGTTTGTTTACACAATTTATTGTAATAGCAATACACATATATGTATATACACAGATTTGAGTCCCCACAAAGTGCCCTCATATCCTCCTTTTAAAGATTAAACTGACATAAGTTCTATCAAAGATCACTTCTGGTTGAAAAATGGTTTGGTATATTTAATTTCAAATTTAGAAAACATAAGCTTTGTTCATTGACAAATTATTCAAAATGACTTGAGGGTGTAATTGTAAAAATCCATCTTTTTGGCAGTTTGTCATATATCTTATTTAAGTCATCAGTTTGTATTTATTTGGGAAATTTCTGACCATGCATCAAGTATATCAGTTTTCATGTTCATGCATCAAGTATATCAATTTTCATGTTAAACAGGATATACTTTTTTTATTGAAGTTTTTAATTTTTGTGTACATAGGTGTAACCATAGGAATGGGTATGAATGGTATGAAGGAAATTTACACCACAGCTGATCGCTTGTTTCATAAAGGTTACAGAGAGGTCAACCCATTCTTCATGCCCAGGATTCTTATCAATATGGCAGCTGGACATGTTAGTCTGAAATATGGATTTCAGGTGAATAATAGAAAAGTTTGTAGTAAATTGTCTGTTTCTGATCTAGTGAAAAACTACGGTACACATTTAAGTTTTTCAAGTAAAAAGCAGTTTCTTTACCAAAGCCAAATTTGTTATAAGCCAATTTTACAGTATGACGTACCACACAGTTAATTCACATAAATATGATTCCTTTGTTTTGTATGGGTGTTATATAAAAGTTTATCATTGTAATCATCATTTATATGTGAAATAAAAATGAGTATATTGAAGAAAATTTGGCAAACAAAATGTTAATCAATATTTCTTGTTTTTAATTATTACAGGGTCCAAACCATTCTGTATCCACAGCCTGCACCACTGGTCTCCATGCTGTAGGGGATGCATTCAGATTCATACAGAGGGGGGAAGCTGATGTGATGGTGGCAGGGGGTGCAGAAGAAAGTCCCAACCCTCTCTCAGTGGCAGGATTCTCAAGGTTAAACCTCAAATAGATAATTCTCATTTTAGATATTCAGAAGAAGTTAAATGAATACTGGTATACAGAAAGACAAATAGAGTTCTTTGAGTAAGGACTTGACAATTTTTTTTTGTGTGAAGCAATTTAAGGTATGTGGAATCTTAATAAGAATTTACTCTTGAAGAGAGAAAATTGTAAAATATTTTATATGCATTTGCTGTGTGACATGTTTCCCTGCATAGAGAACAAGTGATTTTCTCTACATGAAATTTTGTAGGATGAGAGCTTTATGTACCAAGTTCAATGACCACCCAACAGAGGCCTCTCGACCATTTGACAAAGACAGGGATGGATTTGTGATGTCTGAGGGGGCAGGTGTTCTGATTCTTGAGGAGATGTCTCATGCTGTTGACAGGGGTGCTAAAATCTATGCTGAAATATTAGGCTATGGTTTGTCAGGGGATGCATTCCATATGACTGCTCCAAGGACAGATGGTAGAGGTGCTTACAGATGTATGCTGGCAGCTTTAAAGGATGCCGGTATCGGCCCAGCATACATTGGGTATGTTAATGCTCACGCCACATCTACTCCTCTAGGAGACAAGGCAGAGAGTCAGGCAATATGGAGGATATTTGAACAGTGTGACAAAAAACCTTTAGTCTCATCAACAAAGGGAGCTCTAGGACATTTGTTAGGGGCTGCAGGAAGTGTGGAGGCAGCCATCACAGTTTTGGCCTGTCAATCAGGAATCATCCCACCCACTATTAATCTCCACCAACCAGAAACGGGGGTAGATCTGGATTATGTTCCAATTGTGTCACGTGACTGGAAACATGACATTAGGATAGCTTTAACAAATTCATTTGGATTTGGTGGTACAAACGGAACTCTCTGCATTAGATCTTATCATGGAGAGTGATATTTATTTTGCCTGTTAGTGAAAAAAATATGCATGAATATAAGTTGAATCTTTAACTTATTAAATGTTTTTCTGTTGCAGCAAATTTTTGTGTGTTTTTCTAGATAGATGTATTTTATATAAAACATGAGCTGGAAATTCGAATGGAACTGTAAACTACCTCAAGATACACTCAAAAGAATGCTTATAACATATATACCCTCTTACCCTGACCTGCCTTAATAACCTTGAATCACCCTTTGCTCATGATCAAACTTTATACAAGTTATTGGGGAATATACAATCCTTTCAGTGTATCAGCAATAAAAAGATTGCTTATACAATCCCAATAGTCATGTCATGAATTAGAATTTTAGTAATGTCAATCCCTGTATATGACATTTACCCTCTACAAATATTACCGAACAAAGGGCATTGCTTGAAAAAAAGAAAAATTCATAGGCAAATTTCGTTCCAATGTCATTTTTTTTTTTATCGTATCCATGTTATCTTAATTCATTTCGATACTTTGACCATTGGAAACTTTGAAAGGTTTGAATATTTAGTGTGTTTATTACAAAAATACTAGTATGCTTCAGACAGGAATTAAAGCAAACAGCAAGAAACAAATACACATTTTTATTCTTTTAAACTATCTTCCAAAGGGGGGGGGGGGATGGGGGGGGTTGTTATAATAACAATATCTGGCAACATAAAACACTGATCAAGTAATCATTTAATATTTATTAGATTGATGAGAAATCGGCGTTTCTGATAAGTTGAAAAATTTGTTTGACACCTGTTTTCTATAAATCTATAAAAAAATTCACAAATTAGCAGGAACTAGATATTTTGATATGCATAATGGTCGACGTTACATTCATGTATTTCCTTTTCCAGAGTACTTTTAGAAAAGAAAAATGAATTATTTTTTACGCTGTTTTCCTGAATTTCAAAACTTGTTCAATGCGTTTCATGGCCGTAGGAACCGGGGGGGGGGGGGGGGGGGGCGTGCATAGATAATATGTGCTTGTGCCCCCTCAATAAAAACGTCTGATGACCTTTTTTTTTTTTTGCTTGTTAAGGAATTTTGGTAGTTGATGAGGTGGGTTTTTTTTTTTTTTTTTTTTTTTTTTTTTTTTGCTTGTCAGGAAATTTTTGGTAGTGCCCCTCAACTGTCAACTGAAAAATGTATGGCTGTGCCCCCCAAACTTAAATTGCTTCCCACAGGCCTGCGTTTCTGAGTGGAAGGGAGGGGCAACGGCCTTCCAATGAAAAATTTCATATTTCCATACTTAACTATCAGAAATAGACTACTCTTGGAAAAAAGTTCCCACCCCACCCCATCCCCGATACTACTTACCTGGGTATTTCATTCAAGATTTATTAATTTAACCTGAAGAAAACAAATTTGATAACTTTTACAAACAACAGACAGAATAAATTATGTGTATATATATATATATATATATATATATATATATATATATATATATATATATATATATATATATATATAAGATGTTTGTTTTACGATTTTCAAATTGTAGTATATGTGGTCATCTCAGTTAAAATTCCTTAACCGGAAAACACCTACTAGTAATTATGTAACTCTTCGAGGCTGTGGATTGTTCATAATGTAGCAACGGTTTCAAAGGGGGGGGGGGGGGGGAACGTCCCAAAAAATATGACAAGCAAAAAAAAAATTAAACTGACCAAAAGTGAGGGGGAGGGGGAACTTACCAAATTCAAAATTATCTGACAAGCAAAAAATAAAATAAAATAAAAAAGAAATGAAATAGAATTTAAAAAAAAACACCTAAACTGACCAAAAGTGGGGGCGGGGGGGGGGGGAACTTCCCAAAATTATCTGACAAGCTAAAAATAAAATAAAAATTAAAGAAAAAAATAGAAAAATAAAAAAAAGGTTTTTTTAATTGTCTGAATCCTGAAATTTGCCAGTGCTCCCCTTGCCCCCTTCCCCCGCGTTCTACTGCCCTGGCATGTGTATTTTCAATGATTGCTAGCATTTTCAGAGACAATGAATGAATATTTGTCAAGTAAATATTTTTTTAAGAAAGGTAAACCAGATATCCTGTTTGGTCTAGAAGAGCTAATGTGTTACAAAATCTTTGTTAGTTGAAATCTCGACAAGCAGCGATACGTCTGCATGTATATAGACAGAACTGCACCACAGGTCACTCGAGGACAAAATGTTATGTCCAGAATTCGTTTCTCGGTTTCAGATTTGAATTTGCATAGTCTGCATAGCAGACATCTTTGTCAGAAACTCTCTTTAAGAACTGAAACTTCGATGCACGTTTTCGAGCGCTATAGGAAAGACGAAAAATCACCTTTGATAAAAAAAAAAAAATGCAATAGAAAGCAGTATTTAATTAGTTTAATTGTCGTCACCAAACTGATACTGATAGTTTCCCATTGCTTGTATTTGCAGTCAATCATTTATTTTGATAAAAGAGGTCGTTCAAGTTGTTGAAATTCAACATCTCTATTACAAGGCTTCTATACATGTACTTTATATTTGATCTATCAAAAGGTAATAATTCTTTGATAGACACACACACGGCCTTGTAATCAATATCCCTCGTGTCATTAGTAATGTAGTAGTACTATCTTTATTGGCGTCTAAATTGTATTAATTGCCACAAAAGTATAGCAGTCATTTGTAAACATTGATCAACAGGTGCTTTATAACAAAATTGAAAAAAAATGATAAAAAATGAACTCATACAGAAGTATGTATTGACTAATTACATTTTAATCAACAATTTCGAAATATTGGCTTGATTTGACTGCCCGATTACCTTCACCTTTGCTATGACCTTGTGTCAAGATGACTGATAATACTCTTTACTGAGCCTAGTGTTGCTCAATACTTTTAAAATTATAATTCATCCCATAGCCATTTCATTCATGCATCGACCAGTAACGAATAAAGAACTTTGGTGGATAAAAAATCGGAAATGCTTATAGCTTCGAGATAAAAAAAAAAAAAAAAAAACAGTGAATAAAGATATATTAGCCCAAAATGTTAGAAAAAGTTTAACTTCTAATACCACAGAGATCCGTTACCAAATGAGAAATTCCGAGAATATTCTATAGTTCTACAAATCCGTTTATTGAAAGTTTTCATCAAATCTACATTACTGACGGTGACTCTTGTCTTTCAAATAAAGCTGTTTTTAAATCCGTAATCTATTTCTCATACCAAGAATTAATAGTTTATAAAAATTGTTTCTGGGTGATTTTACTGTGTGCAATGCATTATAAAATATCACATGGATATAACCACACTAAAGAGTTCTAATTTCAATAGATTTGTATGCGAATATCTCTAGGTAGTGATTTGCCCTTAGATCTCAAATATGAAAAAAAAAAAAAAAATGAAATCTACATTGTTTTACTGAATTAATCAATTCAAACCAGTCTTAACATTTTATAAGGCCAAGATAAAATAGCTGCACTTTATTTCATGTATTCTCCCCATTTATGTCAGCAACAGTTATCTTTGTCCATCAATACTCTGTTAGTCTATGAACAATTTTCTTAGAAATAAATGGCTGTTACCCTACGTTGAAAATGGCAAAAAATCACGGTCCATCCACTTTTTGGCACCAAGCCATAGTTTAACAGACCTTGGTTGATAAATAAATGATGTCAAAATTTTCAGATTCAAGAATACATGTATTAGCTCTGTCACACCTCTCGTTACATGTAACATTCCGGGTTTTTAATTTTTTTTTATATCGTCGTCCCATTTTTATGTCTCCAAAACTTGAGTTCTCATCAGAAGACTTTGATGGACGTTAATTTATTATTCAATACAAAAATTCCACAAATAGTCTGTAATTTGACTATCATTTGTTTCCATGTCATTGATCGTAACATTAAAATTTTCAAAGTCAATGAATAGAACCTTGCAAATCTATCTATACTACTATATTAAAATAATAGACTCGAATTTTTGGCCTTTAACGAGGTTCGTTCCTGAGCTTTTGAGCAGATTTTTGTCTTGACCTCTTTTTAAAAAATTCTGCATAATGTTTTAGTTCTTACATCAAATTTGGATTCTACAATGCTAATTAAACTATATTCATTTAAAACCCCATGATTAAATTCCATACCGAAATCATTAAGTGAAGAACTATATTTTGTGGCGGAAGGTTTTTGAGAAGAAAATGTTCAATTTTTCTCTTTCGAAATATTTACAGTATTGTTAAGTTTGGAATCCTATTTTTACATGCAGTCTGCACAAAGAGTTATTTTGTGCACTGAAATGTTTTGTGCTGGTCCTAAATAATATATTAAGTTAACCGTCATGAATTCTATCATCATATTGGACAAATATAGCAAATATATTGTGAAAGTCCTGGGGAAAAAATAGCCCACTTTAGGCTAAAAATTAACACTATTTAAGATATATGTATGTACTTTAGTATATGTTTTAGTAATCTGAAAACACACTGTATTTTTCATTTTTGTTTGTAACATGGTTGTATGCCAACATGTTTGGTGAATCAATAAATTGAATTGAATTGAATTGATATATCTAATAATTAACATCACAGACCCCACTTTTAATTTTCTTTTCTGAATATACAAGACAATTTTAACCATTTTGCTTAAATTCAGAAAAATGTCATTACTTTTAAATGATTTTATTGCTTGTTAAATTTTTATCACAGGTACTTGTGGACAGGAACCCCCCCCCCCCCCCCGCAATTCAACCTCGAGGTTTGTTGGATATTTTTTTCACAAATTATATTTATTACACTTATTCATCATGTGTACCATAGGAAAAAATCGTGAAAACCCCAAAATAATCGTTCCACACAAAAATACCCCCACTATACATTATAAGAGAGAAAGGTATGCCACTCCGGTTTGTTTACGTTGTACCCCCACTAGTCTTTCTGGGTTTAAAAACATGAATTTATTTTATTTTAACCTAAAATGTCGGTTCACACTGTCTCTACATATATTTCTGTCATAGTTCATGTCATCGGATTGACTCTGCATCTCGTAAGAATCCC